CCTGCTGAATCCAGAGATACCAATGTAATACTATTGTGAGAATCTATCAGATCATGAAGTATTTCTCATCCCAATCACAAGCCAGTTGTTCAGAAGGTTTTCAGGAAGCCAGTTAATTTTAGAGAAGCAAAAATGTTAGATATTTCAAGCATCACTGAAGATCATGATTAAAAAGCACAAAATCTGGGCTTTAGTCTCGGCTCTGCTGTTCTGTGTGGCATTGGGAAATCAGTGCAGATTAATTTAATAGAAGCAAGAATTTTGGATAATTCAAACATCACTGAAGATTACTAAAAAGCACAATATCTAGGTTTTAATCGCAGCTCTGCTGTGCTTTGTGGCACTGGGAAAATCATTTGGTGTCTGTGTATTTGTATACAAGTTAAATTAATTAATAATTAGTAATCATTTACTACAGTGATGAGCACCAGAGAAGGGAAAATAAAGTGAACTGAGTACAGGACGTGAAATTTGAGTTTTAATCTCAGCTTTACCATTGACTGCCTGTGGCCATGGACAAGTGCCTTAACTTCTGTATTTTGCATTTTCCACATATCAGCGCATAGAGTGATAACATCTCTACTTGGGGGAGATGTTGTAAGCACTCATGATTTGAAAATGGAAAATGCTATAATGAATACCAATCACAGGTATGTAAACCAGGCCTCCAGTCTGTCAGAGGTTTCCACTGAGTTTTTGAATAAAGAGCCAGAAGGTTTGCAAAATCCTTATAACTCAAAATCCACTAAAAAAAATTAAGCGCTTGCTGGCCATTTGCTGTTTTTAATGCAAGGCATTCTGGTAATTAGACAAATCACTGTTTTATTAAAGGTTTTTTGAGCTGAATGTTTATAACTAAGTTATATTTTTAAAAGCCTTAAATATATAACTATATTGGTAAAGATGAGGAAGCTGCTGCTATTTATTATTTCTCATATAATATCCATCTGAACTAAATAAAGAACCTTGCAGTAAAATAAGATAAAAGGTTGTAGTTTCTTCCTCTTTTAGATAAAATTATGATAAAATATGCTTTTTGGGGGTTTTAACTTCACTCTATAATCACAGGGATTTACCAAATTTTAGAGTCACTCACATATTTCCTGTGGAAAGAGAAGGAAGAGTCCCATTCTTCTGGGTGGCCTCTGGGTTGAGTGGTGGGTATGTTCCACCCCTTC